ATGATAGGAGAGAAGCCTAACTTGCCCTGAACTTCGCGTCTGCCCTGTGATCTACTGTGGTCTTCAGCCTGATCTGGATGGGAATACTTTTTGGGAGGCAATACTAAGTGAATTTTAGAGTCATCCTGAGGTTCATCTATATCATTGAGTGAAAATTCATCTATCATTCCTTCATCATCTTCTGCAACCTGGTGTGAGTACAACCCTGTCTTGTTACTCTAATCACCTTACTTTTTCCTAATTATTTTGTCTTATCACTATTATCCTTATTCTTCTCATTATTATTGTATTCTGCTCTTCGTCTTACTTTCCTACACTCTGTTCTTTTACTATTTATTTATCTTTTATATTATCCCATTTTATAATTTCCATTTTTATCACATTCCATCTTCTTATCTACCTCACCTTTTATTTTATCCTTACTGTTTTGCTCATGTTTTTTTTTCATCCTTTTTATTTTGTCTTTCCAAGTATAAATTAACTTGGTTATTTATTCATTACCTTCCCTTTTTAGATCTTTTTAATTAATATCTAATTAATCTGCATACTTTTTTTGGATTTGACATCGCATATTTAATTTATTTGTTGATCAGTTACCAGTACTCGTTAGCTCTTTAGTCAGCTCTTTTTAATGAAGATGGATATAGATCTTGCATGTTTAACTTTCTTGTTTATTTCTTCCAAGTTATCTATTTTCATTCAGAATCTTTTTACTCTCTTTCTAGGCGGTCTACCTGTCCAGCCCCAGTCTCGAGCCGTAACCACCGGACCAACAGAAATGGTAGTTCAATGCTGTCGGTTCCTGTGTTACTTTTGCCGCACGTCAATGCAGAATCAGAAGGCCATGTTTGAACATCTCAGTTATATGCTTGAAAACTCGTCCATGCTTTTGTGTAAGTTACATGCATCAGTGCTCTTTGGTTTCGCTCATTTTCAAGCTGGAATTTTCCTTTTTCTCATATTTAAGTCTGATACTTAGTAAAAGGATTAAGTCATTTTTATTATTAGCATGATTACAAAGCCTGGGTTGATGAGGTGGATTTTAAACAATGAAAATCTTTACCCAAAGTATCTATTGTACGGTTTTATATATACTCTCCGAAGTACACTTTTCTCATTTCAGTTTATCAGGTCTATCCTAAAAATAAATATAAGGTATATATTATTCCTATTTCCCTCAGTCCAACTAGATTTCAAAATTTTTAAATATCCGTCTTGCCATTTATTCTAACGGCACACTTAAGAACCGCATATGTCAAATTTTCACGCATAATATAGTGTTATGCTACAGAATATTTGGTCTTATAGGGCCGTGCATGGGTCACCTGTTCTTGTTAAGAATTTTAATGGAGTGTTCCTTCGGATTCACCCAGCGTTGACACGTGTCGTTCTTTAGTCGGATAAATAAGTTATTGGGATTCAGATGGGCATAATGCTTATTATGATCCATCCTGTCTTTTATCTTCTACGGATGAATAACCTCTTTAAGATTTAGCGACTTTATTTACCTTCCATTATTTGGTGCATCAATTATATTTATCATATTTAATATGGCTTTAAACATAAAAGTTTAAAATCATCAAGAATCTAATCTAGTTTTTTTTCTTCAGCTCGTCCTAGTTTACGTGGCACCTGCCCACTTGATGTGGCCTATTCATCTCTGATGGACAACAACGAACTGGCTCTGGCGCTGCGGGAGAAGCAGCTTGAAAAAGTAAATATTTCGTGGCTTTGATATGAAATGTACGAATCCTTTACTGAGGAGATGTTACATTGATCGCATAAGAAGCAATGTTGATTTCTTATAATTGGATTCCACTTACCTTGTATCCCATGAAAAGCCTTCTTTTGCAATGCATACTACTGTCTTTACCGCACATAGTTGCTATCATAAATTATATCATTAAAATATTTTCCATAAAGATGACAATCTAAATCTGGATATATTTCTCGATTTTTCTTAATATACTTCGCCGAAGCTTCAGGGGCCTCCTAAGGCCACATATACGATATTCGGATACAATTGGCTAAACTGATACTAAGTTGTTCTCAAATTTTACAGCTATACTCTATGAAGAGACTTTCCTTAATATTTTATTTTTCATCCTTTGGAGATTAATAGTGGCAGAGTTTTAAGGAATTTTTTCTCTAGTGACTAATGCTTGGTTTCCTTTTATTTATATATCAGATTTGTTTTCCGATTCTACGAGGCTATTCGTCATTCTAGAGCTTGCTTCTACCTATATTTTGGTGCAAACTGGGGCCCAAACAGTCAAGCCTATTGATATTCCCAATATTAATATTTTAATTACACAATCCATCACTGAGATCTTACTTACCTTTGTTTTGCAACAGTAAGCTTTTCCCTTATGTAATCGCATAGGTAAAATGATAGTTTATATGAATGTCAGAATAATATATTTGATTTGGGTCTGACCTGAAACATCAGGTATACCAGAAGCAAGGGTGCATAGTTTTAGTAGGTTTATTCCGAAAGTATCATCGTATTCCGCTTTAGTGTCTCTTTAGGCTGCTTCGCCTTACGCTGATCGAATGTTGATCCACTCACAAAAATTGGAGATAAATATTAAATAAATTTCTTTTTTAAAAGGTTTTTTTGTATTCAATTTTGATCAGGATTTCAATCACTCTTAGCGATTTTTCGTTATCCACTAGGTTCAAATTATACACGTTTGTAGGTCAATGGGTCTTCTATTTTTATAAACCTTTAAAATTCTTTTGCCTTAATTACGACTTTGTATTTTCCCACTCAACTTTTCTCCAAAAAATTTGGGTGACGAATCAACAAGAAATAAGATTACGTTATATCTGTATATTTACGATCCCTAGTTTGTTTGTAAGGAGATCATTATTTATTTGCATTTAATTGCAGTAACTCACTAAGAGGCAGAAACCCAAAGGAAGAAAATGGATAACGATATACAATTTTTTTTCTTAATAAAAATTAAATCGTTTTTTTTCTGCCTTACGCGTTGCTTCTTTTGATAATCTAATTCTCTTATTCTATTAAGTTCGCTAAAACAGGCATCTTTGAATTTACTTTTCCTTATTCATTATAAGTATAACACCAATCCTCTATATTAAGAAAAACTGAGTCTTGAATAATCCTTTACTGATCCTTTAATGACATGACTTTTCATTTCAAGGAAGGGATTCGTGAAATGGTCTCTCTAGAAACCGAAGGAGGATTGCCGCGAAGTGAAGAATGTTGAATTGAGCGAAGAAGTATTCGGCTTACCGTTCTGCGAACCATATAAAACTGTGCCAAGCTACACTGTGACAAATATCATCAGACCAAGAATCCATACTTTGCCAAATAGAGCACAAATATACTAAACCTCTTCTTTTGTTTTAGTATAATGTTGCGCTTTTTCGTAAAGTATGGATCATTGCTTTGATACTGTCTTTCATAGAATATACGAAAACTTAGCATTGGTTCATTGGGGACAATAAACCGAGTACTTCTTTGCACAATCCAACTGTCCTCATTTCCCTGCAATCATCCTTCAGATTCTGGTAAGACCATTTCACAAATTCCATCCAACCAATCTTTTTTTCACTGTTTAGCCCGAAATTAATCGTAGTTTGGTGTCAAGACTTTTTTGTTTCCTTTATCTAACTATTTTTTCAGCCTTAATGTATTGCATGTGCAAGTATCTTTTCTCTTGTCAAAATCGCTATACTCTGCAACATTTTTTGGTGCAGATCGCTGTTTACCTGTCGCGTTGTGGTGGCCAATCGAATGCAGAGCTTTTAAACAAGGGTTATCCAGACATTGGATGGGATCCTGTCGAAGGAGAACGATTTCTTGACTTTCTTCGCTTTACGGTGTGGGTTAATGGTGAGCCTATTAATCTGTTTCCTTAATCTAGATCCATTCAGCTTACATCAACTGTGCTCCATCTTATATGTTTTAACTTCATCACCACCAGTAATATATGGGGAAATTTCGGGCCTTTGCTATCTTTATAGCCTCCTTCTCAGCACTCAGTCCCTCATTTGGGATGAGGATCTTCGCTTTGACTAATTTCCTCTTCAGTATTATCA